TTTACTCCTAGAGTAACTAAACCTCCCTTGCACTTTTCTGAGGATCCATCCCAGGCCCTAAGGAAGGACGGGCAGCCCAGGCAGCGAGGCTGAGGCTCTTCAGGGCAGGACCCACCTCACACTGTCAACACTCAACAAACAGCTTTGGCAGCACCCTCTCTGCTGTTTTTACTCACATGAGAAGCTCAAATTGTAAAAGAAGAGGTGTGTCCCAACACTTGTTCCAAGAAGGAGTAGTTAAAAACCGCAACTATTGCCAACAGAAGGTGTTTATTCACTATTTATCAAATCCACGCAGCTCCAGGAATGTATTAGCTTTTTTTGACACGATCCTTTCCCAGAAAAAGTCACTCATTCTGCCCAAGCAAAGGAAGAAGGGTCTGGTCCCAGCTCTCATCCCAGCGTTGCTCCTTGGATGCTCGGAGGTTTTCCCTGAAGCTGTGAAGTTTGCCTTCCAGTGTAGGAAATCCCAGGAGAAGCATCTGTAAGTTAAAAAATGGAAAAACATAGAAAAATATCATCCTATTACATGTTAGGCTCATTCTAGCCTCCCCAGTGTGAACCCCCAACTACGGCGTTGCCGTAAGAGAGCACTCTGTGGTCTGGCCTTATAAATAGTGAATGATGACAATATTTAAAGTGTTCTTGCCAGCTCCAGCTTCACCTTCAAATCACGTGAGGCAAATAACATTCACCAGCAAAGCAGAATCTTCTGAGAGTGCAAAACACACAGATGAAAGGCGCACGTGACAGCACCTCTGTGCTTATAGCTACTGGGAAAGAAAAAATCAGTCGAGCTTTTACCTTTAGTTGTTCTGCAAGTTCACTCGAGTCCCTGAATATCAGGCCATTTTCATCGTGTTTCACAAGTTCATGTAAACTGTGAACAAGAGTCACAGAAAGTCATGAGACAAAAAGCAGCCAGTGGGACATATACGTTTTAAAAAGTTGCATTGTGACATCCAAAGAGAGCATCATGGGGTCTCTCTAATGTTCTGGTCCTGCATGTTTAGATACCAGCTTCGTACAAAAGCTGACAAAATGGAACGAAGGGGACAGTTTTAAAATGTTTAAAGATTGTTTCTCCCTTCTATGTCAGACGATCTAAATCTACCCATACAGTACATCCAGGCACTCTGCCTTTGTGCCTGTACTGGGCTTGCATGCCAAGGTTTTGGTAGCCAGGTGGGCTACAGAGGTGGCTTCTGTGAGAAGCTGGAAGAAGCTTCCCTCGTGTCTGTCAGAGCCAACGCCAGCCATCTCCAAGTCAGACCTGCTGCTGGTCAAGGCTGAGCCCATCAGCGACAGCATCTCTGGGATGACAGATTTAAGGGGAAAAAGCCCAACTGCACAACAGGAGCTGAAGCCAGAGAGAGGAGTGAGAATATGAGAGAGCAACAACCCTGCAGACTCCAAGGTCAGTGAAGAAGAAGAGCGAGAAGATGTTTCAGGCACCAGAGCAGAGATCCATCCCCCTGCAGCTCGTGGAGGTCCATCCACCCGAGCAGGGGGATGCCCAAAGGAGGCTGTGATCCCATGGGAAGCTCACACTGGAGCAGGGTCCTGGCAGGACCTGTGGCCCCGTGGAGAGAGGAGCCCACACTGGAGCAGGTTTCCTGGCAGGGACTTGTGACCTCGTGGAGGACTGCACCCTGTGGAAGGGACCCATGCTGGAGCAGGTCGTGAAGAACTATAACCCGTAGGAAGGACTCATGTTGAAGAAGTTTGTGGAGAACTGTCTCCCATGGAAGGGACCCCAAGCTGGAGCAGGGGAAGTGTGTGAGGAGTCCTCCCCCTGAGGAGGATGGAGCTACAGAGACGACGTGTCATCAAACGACTGCAACCTCCATTCCCCATCCCCCTGTGCCACTCAGGAGAAGGAGGTAGAGAAATTGGGAGTGAAGCTGACCCCGGGAGGAAGAGGGGGGAGGAAGATGTTTTAAGATTTGGTTTTATTTCTCATTATCCTACTCTGATAAACTGATTTCCCAAGTTGGGTCTGTTTTGCCCATGACGGTAATTAGTGAATGATCTCTGCCCATCCTTATCTTGACCACGAGCTTTTTGTTATATTTTCTCTCCCCTGTCCAGCTGAGGGGAGTGATCAAGCAGCTTTGGTGGGCACCTGTGTCCAGCCAGAGTCAACGACCACAGTGCCAACCACCACAGCACCACACATCTGTACACACATTAAAAATCAGGGCAATAATCTACTTTAGAACTAACCTTCAAGGAAGATCTGTCCATGATCTAGTTCATGAGATCTTCACAAATAATGTACCTTTATTTATAAAAGCTACTGTTTCCCCAAAGGGCTGCAAGTTGTATGGCTGACTCTGCATTCACTTACCCTGTCAAAGAACACAACACATCTCCATGCAGAAGGAAGCTTTTTTTACATTAAGTATATGGAAACAAAGGACTACAGGGTTATGGCACAATACTAGAATCTCACTGATACATGCAGAAGGTGTTAAACTCTTGCTTTGTAAGAATACTGATTTAGTATCAGAATAAACAAGCTCTTACCATTCAAAATATATTGCACACACAGGTAAACAGCAGCCAAACATATCCACCACCTTCATGGGTAAATCCAAACCACTGGATGATTTATGGAGACACACCCCCAGGTCTGCTGAGCCTGAAAAGCCAACAGAACAGCCAAGAAGCTGAATTCTCTAAAAGCAGCTCTTCTAGTTTTACTGTAAACCTTTCTATTTATGTACTACTTTGGGTAACGCAAGCTAAAAATGAGCTATGTTCAACACCAGCCAGACCGACACAATTTCAAACAGTCAGGGGAAAAAAAAATGTAGCACAACATATTTTGTGACTAAAATTAGTCAGGCTTTAGAAACATATAGTGCATATGAAATTAAAGGGAATTTTAAAAATTCCTACATCTTAAAACAGCCTTTCTGGCTCTTAATCTGCCAAGAATGGGTAAATGCACAGGAAAACTCCACTACAGTCCAGGCAGAAGGAGCTGCGTGGCTCATGAGCGACCTCCTCCAGCTCAAGGGATTTCACAACAGAGAAATTACAGCATGATTTTATAGACATTATACTCATTAGTATAAAAGTACCAAATAAACACAGTGTTTTACAGCCATATAAATTGGCAGGCTCTAACCTTGCAGGATGTAGATCAAGTTGAGTACGTATTTCACTACGTTATTAAGCTTACTCACACTTTATGCTAATATAATGAACGTGCTGAGGGACTACTATTCTGAGCATGTATTAATTTAGAATTTCAGCAACTCTTGGTCACTCAGCCAAACGCTTCAGGATTTCATTTACTGAAGTGACCCTGAAAGTAAACTGGGACATGCAGAGGGGCGTTGTACTTCAGAGCAGTTAGAAGAAATGAAGAGTACAAAGAGCAGGCTAAAACAGCAGCACAGACACTGTGCTGACTTCTCTGGGTAACAGTGAAAAACTGTAGTTAGGGAGATTTAGCAATTTTGCTGGCATGATCAAAACCCAGAAGAGAATACATGTATACCATCACTAACCAGCAACTTCATTCCCTTACTACATTCTACCAGCTCCTCTGCAAAATCTGTATCGGCTCTCTCCAGCTTTAGTAAGTTATTTTTCCACACATTCTCGAGTCTATTCCATAATCCACTCTTTACCAAGCAAAAGAGGGTAATCCTCAGCTTCAAGCCAGGGTGTACAGATCTGGATATGCTTCAAGTGCAGTTTATTTATCAGACCGTTGTAGTAGTCTTTTAGAGGCCCTTTACCTATTTAAAAGAGAAAAAGATACATATATAATAGTCTTTTTTATCAAGATGACTGAAGATAGTCTGTGCATCCTACTGTTCAGCTGACAAACTCCTGTTGCGTAAGATACATCAAAAAGGGAATCACACACAATCCCCAAAAAGACACATCAAAGATGAAGTCCCCTTGAAAGCAGCATGAACCTAGACTTCTTGTGTACTCAGTATTCACAAGAAACCACCATCAATATCCCCCGGTCCTCACCTTTATTTTGTCTACAGCCGTTAAATAACCCAATAACTACTGACAAATTTCATCAGCACAATTGGCCCTTCAAAAATCACACTAAGTTTCAGTTTGCTAATGAGAAAGTTAGCCAAACCGCACTCGTTCTGTCCACACAACTTTTTGGCAAAACCTTCTTTGACAAGTTTTTCCTCTTTTCCAGCACTAAATGAAAACCTTTCTGCTTTAACACTTCAAACACCGGATTTTAAGTTTCTTGTGCTGCAGCATCTCAATGTTGACCTCAAGTTCTTTGAGTAATGCACAGCTGTACTAGACAGGCAGGGTGAGAGCTTCTCCTCTTTAAAGATGTGCCATGATTACACGGCTGTAACAGCCCAGCTATAAATCACTGCTCTTACAACCAGACATAAAGACAAGGGTCCCTCCTCTCTCGTCACCAGCAACAGAAGAGTCACCATAGAAGGACAGTGAGAATGAAGTCCTCTGTATCAGCACTGAAAGGATTCCAACGCGAATAAACTCCTACCTGTTATCACACATACTAAAGATGGCAGCCTGGCCCCTTCGTTGATAAACCGCTCGTAATCTGGAGAGGGTAAAACACTGTTCAGAGTCGACAAATACACAGATGCTTGGCTTAAGAACAGCCACAGTGTATTAATGGCTTAGCTTCCTACTTCTTATAACTTCTTTACAAGCACATACCTAGCAATATAGTAGTAAATTTAGCACTGTTAAAACCGACAGACTTCTATGGAAGTAAATTATCATCTGTTTAGAATGTACTATTCATGCAGCCTTTGTTGTACTACGCCAGCCTTAGCTTCCTACTTCTTATAACTTCTTTACAAGCACATACCTAGCAATATAGTAGTAAATTTAGCACTGTTAAAACCGACAGACTTCTATGGAAGTAAATTATCATCTGTTTAGAATGCACTATTCATGCAGCATTTGTTCTGCTACACTGTATCAGCTGTCTCAATCTATCAATATATCAATTTAGCAGCTTCAAAGTCTACAAAATAAGACAATGCATATTCCCTTCTGTCTTACTACCAGATGCCTGTGGAGAGCACATGTAATAGCTTAGAAAACAGAAATGCAATTTACAAACTACTTCAAAATATAATTCTCCCTGACAACTACTCTCACTGAATCAACACGTTGCACTTCTGTATTTCCACTACTACACTGAGACGATTGCTAATTAATTGAATACACCTGCACTCTCACTTGACCGATTGCTAATTAATTGAATACACCTGCACTTGAATATGGAAGCACTGTTCTTTAGCAAAACCCTTCATAACCGTCCAGAATACAACCATTCCCCTTTGAATAGGTGAGATTAATTCCTTCATACCTACCTTCTAAAGCTTTTAAAAGGATTGAAAAGTCTTCATCCTCTGAAAGAGAAAGCTTTATTAGGGACAATTGTATTTCTACCATTTATAATGAATTATAGTCTTTCAATAGCAACGGTCAAGATTTTCCTCACCTCCACAATTTATGTCTGGACCATGCTTTCCTATTAAAAATCTGCCATAACTATTTTAATAAATAAAATCTCTAACCATACACAGGGCTTATTTGCTCCCCCTATTGGGAACATGGCAGACAAACAAGCCACAGATACTGCACAGCCCCAAAGCTATCAAGTTAAAAACATCTAGTTTCTCAAGCTACAGAATTAAGTGTTGAAATTGTCCTGTTTTACACTGCCCTGTTTTACACCACCACGGAAGATAGTATGCCTAGAATGAAATTTAAAAAACCAGCAGGCAATCATTCTTGAAGCTGAGCCTCCAGACTGTAGCTCTGTAATTAAAATACAACTTTTAAAAATGTTCCTTTTTATCCACCACATCATATACACAACTTTTAAAAATGTTCCTTTTTATCCACATCATATACACACATACCACATCATATACAATTCGTCTTTAAATTCTTCCAGCCAAATGAAGGAAAAAAAGTAACTCTACCACTGGTGCTGTAAGTCTCTATAAAGCATCAAGTGTGAGGATGCATAAACAGCCCTCATTTTATCTTTTGTTAAGCAGCAGTTAATTATTAAAAATAAAACAATTTGTTTCCAAACCTGTCCAGCTTGTGCTGCTGATCAGAAGAGCCGGCCGTCCTCTGGTTTTTATCGTGTGTCCAGTTTTTCCATCCCTTTCTGTGAAGGCAGAGCTCTCAGCGTGCGAACTGACACGCTCTGTACTACGGAAACACAAGTTTCTGAGTACAGACTACACAAACACAGCCAACAACTGCAGCAGGAAATACTGGGCTTAACTGGCATGGGTTTCCAAACACTTTGCTTCAGATTTGCTGCTCGACTTCTATAGACACACAGACATTACAGTACAGTGCAGAGAGACACCTGATCCCAAGAGAGATATTTTTCATCTTCCTTATTGCTACCAAGAGCCTACTGACACGACTGCTTTAGGCATGATTCCATCTTCCAACAAAGTATTTTCCTGAATAAGTTCAGAGAACAGCCTCTCCTTCCAGCTCTGTCTCTAACATATAGAAGAGCACAGAGGCCAACAGGACATTTATTCAATTAAAGTCAGAACCTATAATTCTATGGTGAATGTTTCCAAATAGAAACCACCATACGCTACTTTTTCGAGCATTACTTGGATAAAGTAACACCCTGTCAAAGCCGTCTGCTGTAGGAGACATCCTGCACACAGCCAGAGAGGAACGTGTGACACTCAGACCAAGATCCTGACAGCTCTCCACAGTAAGTGAAAGGAAGGGATGCTGTTAACAAAGCTCCCAGTCCCTGGCATGTAGTTCCAAGGGGAACCAGACAACTGCCGAGTTCCACCCTGGAGATATTCTATTACAGATCTCCTCAGTACTTATGCCAACTTCTTTAAAAACAAAAAGCTTCTATTATTTCACACACCAAGCATCGTGTTCAACCCCAGTTCAATGATTTCACTCATTCTGGCCTCTCCTAGTGACCATGAAACCTCCACAGCACAAGGTACGGGCTGAGAGCACACAGAGCCCCCCCAGTGATATTCATCAGCTTGTGACCACATGCAAGGACATTTCTGGTAACTAAGTGTCATAACTTTATGTCATTCAGATAAGCACACACTTCACTTACACATACCGTGGTTTAAAAGGCTCATAGTCTTTGGCAAGTTTCATGTACAAACGATGTTGAACTTCTAATGGTGTTTCCTTAAAATAAGACGCTGGCTTGTCATACAGTGTTACTGCCCTGCAATGAAATACATTCACAAGTGAAATAAGAAACAGACCTAACAAAATGTATATGGTAGAGTGACAGGCTACAACAACGTCATGCAGAAAGTAATTAAGTATATCAATATAGCAAAATTTTTTTCCACTCTTATAACAACTTTCTGTATTCCTGAAGGTTGCTGGAATACCAAGGTGGACTTTCTGTATTCCTGAAGGTTGCTGGAATACCCCGAGGTGGAGGTATCAGTCCTGTAACTAAGGACCCCTTTCTCATGTGCATGTTTAAGGGGTGTGATGCGACTGCAAACACTGCAGACATCATTGTCCTGATTTTTTAGCTTACTTCATAACTGTTCCTGAGCAACTTTCATCTTAAAAGCCCTCCAACTGCAAAAGAAAAATCTGCAGGGCAAACTAATTGTTAAAAAAACCCAGCAATGTCTGACTCATTCCCTTTCCATAGGCAGATTGGCAGCAAACTTTGGTAACACCTGGACTGCCACCTTCTAGTCAAAGGGCTGTTAATTATGAAGTAATGAAGATTCTTGAACGCCCACACTCCACTAGCTCATGACAAAACTGAGTTAATGTTTCAGCAGTGATGGATGGGCTCAGGAAAGTTGGTTTTCTAAGATTCCTCTGAATCCAAAATAATCTCTTTTCATTTTATTTCACGCACGCACATACTAATTGTTAGCAGTATGTGACTTACTTTATGTTGCAATTCACCCACAGATCTTCTTTCATCGCATTAGTGACACACAAGTTATAGTCAGACAAACGCCCAAAAAGCTTTTCATACCTGACAAAAATGAAAGCTTAGTTAGAAACCACAGGCAGGCAATCGATCGCATCAGCCAAATGACAACCACCCTCCAGCGCCTGTACTAATTAAAAGCCAAATGAAACCCCACTGCCCCCCATAACAGAAATTTAATTATCAATGATTGACTCCTTACACTGAAGCAATCACTGTACGAGAAGGGACACAGCACGACTCTCTTATCCTCTAAAACCTAAGAACAGCAACTAAAAAGCCTTTAAAAATGTCTACCTACATGTAACCAATTCAATTCAGGAAGAAACAGACCTTTAAAGATGAACTGGGGTGTAAAGTACGATTAGCGAATAAAAAAATCCCAGCACACAAAAAGTCATTCTAACAACAAGACCAAAAATTGCATATGCACATAAAAGCAACCTGCCTATTTCATCAGTTGCCTTCCTACGTGTTTAACAAAGGCGTTTTACAGAACATGCTTTCTGAAATAGAAAGCAGTTTAACTCAGCAAAATCCAGAAAACCTTCACAGAAACAGCCCTTCACTAATTATATTCTCCCCACTGGTTTCCATTCTTCAGAATTCCACAAAGGTACACGACTTATAAAGACAAGAAGAAATTATTGTACGAACCATTTTGCAATTTTTACCAGTGGGTGATTTTTGCCATGATTCAGGCTCATTATAGTGTATCCATAGTTGTGCCAATCGATTATCAGTTTGCTTCTCCAGAAAAGGCAGGCTACCCAGGCAACAGCTATCGCAGGTAAGCCCGGAGGATTCTGTTTAATACATAGAACGAATAAAAAATAGCATAAGATCAAGTGACCAACACTATCAGCTACCAAAAAAGAAAATCAAATTATTAAAATTACATTGCTTTAAAGCATCTTAATGAACACAGCCAATTTTGTATCCACCAGCTGCAGAACCGCCAGTTTCTCCTATGAAGATTGGTTGGAACTTCAAATTTTACCGTTGGATGAAGATCTAAATTCCCCTCCAATAAACACATAACATTTCTGTTAAGATTTATTCCTTACTACTGTCCAGGCCCATGAAGTTTTAAAGCTCAACAATTAACAGGAAGAACAAACCCCCAAGGTTAGGGCCAAATAAATAGTTTGATATAGATTTATACCATCGCTTAGGCCAGCTGTAATCCTCAAATAATTAGAACAATGTCCGACACTACTAAAATGCCCTGTCGTGTAGTACTATTTATTTTTATTAATATTAATCCCAGCACAAAACATACCTGCAGGAGAATATAGGACGGCCGATCTATCGTCAGCATCGTGTACAGTAACTGCACTGCCTGCACGATGACTTTTATGACATACTGGAAAAGCTTCGGACCAACTGCAAAATGACAGAAACCCCTGGTAAGAACGTTACAGCTTCTCCAGGACAGAACCAGCCAGCTCTGCACAGAAAGGTTTAAAAGAACCGTACACTGTAAACACAGAAACCTGGTTTTAGCAAATGTGTCGTCACAATTGCCTACAGGAGAGATGGAGAGGGACTCTTGGTCAGGAAGTGCAGTGACAGGACAAGGGGTAACGGTTTTAAATTGGAAGAGGGGAGATTTAGATTAGATACCAGAAAGAAATTCTTTGGTGTGAGGGTGGTGAGAGCCTGGCCCAGGTTGGCCCGAGAAGCTGTGGCTGCCCCATCCCTGGAGGGGTTGAAGGGCAGGTTGGAGGGGGCTTGGAGCAACCTGGTCTGGTGGGAGGTGTCCCTGCCCAGGGCAGGGGGTGGCACTGGATGATCTTTTAAGGTCCAACTCTAACCATTCTATGACTCTATGAATTCCTACAAATTCCCGTTGTGTGTTTTGCAATAGAAAAATATGGGAGGAGGTATGGATAAACATACCCAGAAGGTAAAAAAACATAAAATAATGTGCTATTTTTCAAAGAGTCCCTGTTTCAGCCTGCATCAGAACGACATTTACACGCTCAGATAACACAGAGGGAAGTGTTTAAAACGGGCACGGAGGATGCTGAGCCAGCACACACCCCCCCAAGGACCCCCCCCGCGGCGGGGAGGCCCGAACCCCCTTCGGGTTGTTAATTTTTCCACATAAATCCCGTTTATTTTCCCACATAAAAGGCCGTTTCCCCTGCCCTCC